GTCCCCTCCCGATCTCGCCGTTCCTCTCAACCCGCCGTTCCTCTCAACTTCTCATCCTTCATACGTCTTAGGAAGGTAAGGATGCTCGGTTCTTGTCGTTTCGACATCCGTTTAACCGCTAGTAGTAACTTTAGATTGTTAAATCTTGAAGTTGGAGGTGATTAAGGATCTTTTGAGGAGTTGGGCGAGTTGATTTAAGGAGCCTTCATTCTAATCGATTCATTGGGGTCTAGGCACGCTTTGGAGGTAAGCAAACACAGTCCCCTTTGAATTAGCCTTGGTTTCATATGAGTTTTCGGGTATTTTCATGTCAGGGGATTTAGTGACGGATTTTCTGGCTTTTCGTGACGAACAGTAATGGTCGCTAAAACGTCAAAAATTCCAGAATAACATTTTAAGCAATGTTTTATTTATTCAGCACCCTTATTGGATGGATAAAATTGGTTTAATAATTTTAGAAATTTGAAAAAGGTCACTAGAGGACTGGGAATTAATTTTGTGATTTTTAAAGGCTAATTATTATTTTTAATAATCATTTAGTCGCGTATATCTATTAAATCAAAAGTTATTAGGCATTTTTGGAAAATTGGGTAATTTTCCTGTAGACACCACATTTTGTCCGGAACAATCATCATGCTAATTATATATACATAAAAGGGAGACTTAATTGTATCACAATTATATTTGGAAAGGTAACTTAAGTGAATTGGTTGAGACTAGCAGTAGCAAGTCGATATGAACCAATGATTACCATTTTCCGCTCATATACAATCCAAGAATCAATTCGAATGGACACGAGGATAAGTACTATTTTGAAGCTTAATACGCTTTAGGTTTGGGTTTGAATTTGAGCATTGGTTTACAATGCATAGAAGAAAAGAACAAATCAATAAATACAAAAAAAAAACATACTTCGCCATTTTATTTCTTCCATGATACATTTGATCGAGAATTACATAGATAACAAAGGAAAGATAGTAATTAAATAGACCGTCACAAATTATACATATATGCAATTAAAAGACCACTCCTTTATAAACCGTGGACCTGCAATAGAAAAGAAGAACTAGTCAGTTCTCAAACCCATACACCAGGTCCACAATTTAAGCCCAAACCAAAGTAGTTCAAGTCCAAAGAGTATAAAGCCAGTTTCTTTTCAAGCCCAAACACAAATCAGATCGGACCCAAATCGGCCCAAACCCGACAGGCCCAACTCGGCCAACTGGTTCGATCCAGAGACCAGCCCAACAATCCGACCCAGACCAATTTGGTCTAACCAAATCCTATCTACAACCGACCAGGCACACTCTTCAAAGTCATATTAAAAAATTGGACGAATCAAATAGTGACAAGTGGCAGTTTGGTTTGCTATAAATGAGCTCTTCAGGCTCTTTGTTTGGGGGGGACGGATTGGAGAAGAAAGACAGAAAAATAGAAACATACACAATACAAAGGGATCGTTTTTTTCCTTTGGCCGAAGTTCAGTGGGGAAACTGTGAAATTGAAGGAGCAGATTTGAAGATCGTTGTAGGGAAAGGCCATTCTTAGGCCTTGATCCAGGTTGGTACTTGTATCAACTTCATTTTGTCAAATTATACAGTCCGTTATGACGTTATACAATCATCCATCTATTTGCATATTTATACTCTTTGAGTATTTTCCAATACAAGTTATGACGTTATACAATCATCCATCTATTTGCATATTTATACTCTTTGAGTATTTTCCAATACAAGCTATGTGATGGTTAAATATTATTTACTCAGATCTGCTCTTATCAATTTCTCATTAAGCTTTATCATCAAAGTTTCTTTTCCTTCCCATATTAATAGTTTTGGCTATGAGATTACTATTATACCGATTAACTTAACTATGACTAGAGAGTTGTTTTAAACTCTTTTTGCCATGTTTAGATTTTCCTCATTCGTAGCCATACATACATAATGTACAGATTAAAGTAAAACTAGATATAGCACATTTTTTTTTATATATAACAATCAAACAAACTTTTCCCAAGTCCTTGGATCAACCTGGATCCAAATCCAACAAAAATCACTCAAGCACAATAAATTCCAGAGTTTGAAACCCATACCAATTTCGCAAAATCACAGGCAGTGGCGGTGATTTATAATAGCCAAAATAAGCAATTTAGTCTTTGTTAATTAGATTAAAAATCATTTTAGCAACTTCTAATATATTAAAACTTCTAATATATCATTTTAGCAAAATCATCCCATCAAAGCACCAAAATCCCATTTTCTTCAGAACTCATTCACAAAACTTACTTTCTAATACTCAGATCTGCTAATCAATCCCAAATCAATAATAATAATCCGTTTACTTAGTTAAATCATCCCTAGTCATACCAAAACCGAAGTTAGAAAAGCCTTACCCAGATCTGGATTTATTTCTCAAACCTACAAAAAAGAACGAACTAAATTAATTATTTTTGTTAATAATAAAAATGATAGATTAACATATATTAAGGAGCCGAAATCCTACCTTTCTTTTTTTTGGAGACGAAGATCGTCATCGGCAGGATCTCGCCGCCGACCACATCCAAAACACAAGAAAATGAAATAAATATTAGTCGAATCCCAAATAAATCACCTAAAACGAATTGAAAAGATTTTGCATGTCAAGAATCTTACCTAGTTCGTCTATTTCCGATTGAAATAGGGAGGTTATAGTCATCCTTTTGCCTGATTCCAAAGAGGAGTCTTTCCTCATCTTTTGCCTTTTTCTTCCTCCTCACCAAACCAAAACCCATAAAAAAAAAAATCAGAAAACGAAGGTCAGAAACAAATTCAAACCAACAAAATCGTCAAATAAAACCACATGCATGTTAAAACCTTACCTAATTCGGGCTTCCATTAGTTGGTTGTGGACCGAGCTGTTTTCTCGCGGCCAGTAACGAGAGAAGAGGATTGAGGTAGGATTAAGAGTTAGGGTTTTGATTTAGAGAAAACCCAGAGGGATTCGGCAGAGAAAAACAAGAGGAAGAGAAGAGAGATATCGGCGGTCGAGAGGGAGGAGTGAAGAGCAGAGGAAGAGGCAGATTCGAGATGGGGAAGGGCGTCGTTTTCTTTTGGTATTCGGCGGCTAGGGTTTTTGGGTTTCTAAAGGCGAGAGGAGGAACGAGAGAGAGAGGAGCTGTCGTTTTTTGTTCTCTGGAGAAGAAGGGAGTCGAGTGAGAAAGGAGAGAGAGAGCAGAAGCGGCCGCCGCTTTTGGTAAGGCTGAACTAGGGTTCTCTTTAGAGAGAGTTATATACTCCATTGGTTGTAAAGACCAAAATGCCTCTAGGGTTTATCGTTAATTACGCGGCCGTGCCACCGTGTTTTCGAGCAATTACTAGAATGCCCTTCCCCCATCCCCACACTAAAACGAAAAAATCAAAAAAAATTGCACTCAGTTCGTTTCGAACCCGCGGTCTCTGGGTCAGAGGAGGCTAACGGTTTGACCAGTTGGGCTGCCGACAATCATATGTTGAATTTACCATTCCGCTTAACTTTATTTGTTTACAGTTCTTAATACGAAATGGTAAATGCGGATTAAGTTTATCTCGTTTCTTTTCCAATACGAGTCAAGCCTCTTCCTAATAACTTAAATTATTAAATTCTCTTTTCATAATTTCATAATAATCAAATTAAATTTTATTAACATAAATTATAATATGAAAATCACGATCAGTGGAGCGTGATGAAAATGTCACAATTAAACTATCAAAGTTAAACGAACTACGTGGACTTTGATCTCGTCTAACGGGTACGTAGGCAACCGATAAGGTTCGAGTCCAATTAATCAACTAACTTTATCTTTAAATTTTTACGTCAGTGGGCGTATAATTAAATTACAACTAATATGATTAAATCATTAAATGGTCCAGTGGGACCCCTAAAATTACAAATTATTACTAAAATACACCCAACTCGTATAAAACTTATCGACTTAAGTAGTACCGATTTAGGGCGTTGTGGGGGTGTTGCTTAACTTCCCTACACGTAACCGTACTCCCGAACCCAGAACTTCATTTTCGCAGACCATATCTCGGTTCTGACCCTAAGGTTAGAGCCGATCCTAAGAGTGTTCGATCCACTCCAACTAAGATCGATGGCGACTCCCAAAAATGCCGACGCGACGACATCCGGACCCCCGGACGGGACGGTTGCGACAGTTGGCGACTCCGCTGGGGACTTCGAGAGTCGAACTACAGAACTAAGTTCGATAAGTTTTCTAATTTTCTATTACGTGTTGGGTGTTTACTTTACTATTTGCGCAATTATATTTTCGCAATTAAATTCTGCATTCATGCATGAAAGCTCTATACCCGAGCTATCCCATTAGAAACGGAAAAGGAGTACCGTGACTTTCACAGTGGTGGTAGTCACGCAAAACTTTCCAACCAAGTTGAACTCATATCCGAGGATGATCTTGAGGTATCCAACCAGCTCGTAAGGGCTATGGCAGGATACAACTTGGGGACCAAATCCCTAGGAATTCCTCTGCCAGCATGTAGTAAGCATAGAGGCCTCCCTAAACCGTCCAAAATAATCCCGAAACAACCCTAGCACCACGTCACTATGCCCTCTGAAAGCCCTAGGTTTTCCCAAATAGGGTTATATTTTTATTATCTATATATGTATGTTTTCTACTGACGTGATAATTTGTGGTATGTTTTACCAATCGCGATATATTTATTTGTGAGAACAATATGAATTTTCTTTTCTTCTTTGAAAAAAAAAGGAAACTCATAAGCATCATTCTCTTTTTGGGTTTTCGCTTATGCATTCAAAATAAATCTTGAGAACATTTTCAAAATGCACGTGCATCCAATGAATCATCTGTGCATCTGTGCATCGCATAAGCATCATACATACTCTCCATTACTCATTCAAGTCAATTTAATAAAAATAATTGGTCAGGGTTCCTTAAAATTGCTCGTCCACAAGGAAAAAATCAAGACTTCAAGTACTTAACTAGATCCAAGCTCGAGGTCGTCATGGAGGCATTTCAAAAAGAGTTGAACGACATCAAAGGAAAGCTGACCGGGTTTGACGAGAAGCTAGTGGGGTTCGATGAGAAACTAACGGGCTTCGATGAGATGAAAAGCCAGCTCAACACAATAGTAAGCATATTGTCCAGAAAAGGGAAGGAGGTTGCAACGAACGAGGAAGAAATCGTATTTGACGACGACGATCGCTATGAGCAACCTCAGGGAAATGTCTCAGGTAGTAAATTCATTCTCATACCTTCGAAGAACACAGGCGAAAAAGGTGATATTGGGTCATCAAAGCATGACAAATCCGGAGAACCCGAGAAGCAAGAGGAACATAAAATTGAAGCTATGCTAGAAGAAAAATTAGAACACATGAATGAACGAATAAGAAGCATAGAAGGAGTTGAGTCGTACGAGCCTATGGATGCATCAAAACTATGTCTGGTCCCAGATGTCGTGATTCCTCACAAATTTCAAATGCCAGAATTTGAAAGATACAATGGCACCACTTGCCCAAAAAGTCATCTGGTCATGTACTGTAACAAAATGGCCAACCATATCCGAGATGAAAGGCTAATGGTACATTGCTTCCAAAACAGCCTGAGTAGTTCTGCCCTACGATGGTATATGCAACTAGAGAAAACAAAAGTGAGAAGATGGCAAGACCTCGCTGATGCATTCATGAGGCACTACAAGCATAACCAGGATCTGGCTCCAGACCGAGAAGATCTGAGGAATATGGAAAAGAATGAAAAAGAATCTTTCAGGGAATATGCTCAAAGGTGGAGAGAGAAAGCTGCAGACGTTCAACCTCCTCTGTCAGAAAAGGAGATGGTGTCAATCTTCTTCGGAACACTAAGGGCTCCATACTACAACAACATGGTCGGAATTACGACAACCAACTTTGCGGATCTGCTTGTAATCGGAGAGCGAATAGAAAAGGGTTTGAAGCAAGGTCGGATGGAAACTCCAGAAGCCTCCAAGAAACCACACCAAGCCCGAAGAGGAGAAGCAGATGTCCATTATGCTCAAACAGAATCATCTAGAGGAAGAAGGTGGGATCATCAACCTCAGGCCAATCAAGCCCATCCATGTGTTGCAAGAGCTGCAATAATTAATCAACGTCCAACTTTTCCTACTCAACGAGCCATCCAGAGCCCGACACGAGTCGCACCACCACCTAATAACCAAAATCAGAATAATTATGAGAGGTTCAGGAAACCCATCCAAATCGATCCTATCCCTATCACATACACTGAACTTTTCCCTCAGCTAATTCAAGGTAACCTAATCTCCCCAATACCATGTGAACCTATGAAACCTCCTTATCCAAACTGGTTCAAAACAGACCAGCATTGTGCTTACCACTCGGGAGTAGCAGGACACTCAACTGAGGATTGCAGATCGCTCAAGATCAAGGTCCAACAAATGATGAATACTGGCTGGTTAAAGTTCGATGATGAGCCAAAGCGTCCGGATGTCAACAATAACCCACTGCCAACTCATGGGAATTAGTAGACATACTACAAGGCAAAGCTCGATTTAAGGATAATGTTGATCCTACCTAGTAAATAAAATATCGAGATAATTTGCCTTAGCAAAATATGTATCACTTCTGCTTTTATCATAATAAATAAAAGGTCTTTCACGTTTCGACTTCTTTGGAGCATTGTGTGACCACTATCGATCTAAATTTAAGAGTTTGCATCAATGTTTTTATCAAAATAATGAATGCCACTTCGGATCCTTTTCTTTTAAAACAGATTTATCTTCTACAAACATGAAAGCCATCAAAATCCAGTTTTATTTTCAAGCTAAGCCATGAGATTTTCATGCAAAGAAAATGTGAGCACCCCACTGGTGCTGAGATTTGGGACACCCCACTGGTGTCAAGAGATTATAAACACCATGCTACTGTCAATATTTTTAGCACCCACTGGTGTTATGAGTGTACGTGTTTTGCTAAAATCGAGAGATAAACACCCTACTGGTGTCCATAAATTATGTGAGCTAATAGTCAAAGGGTGTAATGAGTATACGACATCATGCTATTTGTAGAAACTCGTCACCATTGTAGTAGACTTTTGCCAACAAATTGAGGTTTAGTTTGCGTGAAGTCAAATAGCCAAATCCCGATGCACGGGGAGCCTAACATTACTATCATAGCAAGTAAATCCTCACAGAGTCTCATGACTAGAATATCGAGGAAGATCAAGGACATAATTTATCATGCAAAGGATTCACACCAAGAAAGCAGTCTTATCCTCGATTCGAGAGCTTACCTCCTTACGGACGGAGCGTCTATTAAACTCACACGTCAAAGTCCGATCGTGAGATATTTGCGCAATACCGGCAAGCAAATGGCGTCAGCATCCCTACTCTTACCAAAAAGAATAGCCAATTTAATCTAGTTATGGAGAAGTGGCACTCACATCATCGATCATCAAGAAGACTCTCTACCTTTCGATAATCGTCCTACCAGATACAAGTGCTAGATCAGGGAAAATGTGAAACGCATATGGGGCATGACAGAGTCCAGTAAGTCCCACACATACAAAACAAAGAAAAAAGACAAAAGAAAAACAAACAAAATGTCGTGGGACTTACAATCTAGGTGCCCCCGGTTTAGCATTTGAAGTACCAAATACCTGCACCAAGCCAAAGTCTTGCCCGATCAATCTCAAGATACGACAAGAAGGACCTTCAAACAGTAAACTGTGATGATAAGAAAGTCGTTCTAGCCAAAACCCATCATCCAAAGTACTCATCATTTTGAGAGAAAGCCAGAAGCTGAAAATCCACAACATTCAAAATTTAGAGGCCAAACAAGGACCTCGACAAGTCCCAAGCCAGATTGCATTCACGAAAATCACAGCCTCGGCTAGCGAAAAATACTGGGGGGCAAATCCAGCTGAGAATACATTCTGAGAAAATCCACCAGTATTTTCGAACAAGACTTTGTCAGCAAATAGATCCAGATAATAAGTGGTTCTTAATCCATCAAGTCAATCCCATACTTTGGGGGCAAATCCAAAATCCCTCTACAAGAAGCTTTATACAGATATTGTCGAACTACACCTCAAGAACAAGGAGACTCGTATACTCAAAGTCATATCGGATAAAGGCCTCTTTCATGGGAAACTAAGAACGTTAGTGACGAAGCCATATGCAGGTCTCCTAAAGCAATCATACCAAGGGCTTCCATATTTGAGTAAATCATCATAAGGAACACATTTGGCCACAACATAAAGCCGACATCTCAAGGTGACCAGAATCTTAATGGTAGCTGAAGTGTCGTACACTCAAATCACCTATAGGAATGAGTGAAGAGCGAAATCCAAAGCAGGAGTGAGAGCGATCAAAATCGAAGGAAAGCGTGAGAGCGAGGGCTTACTGATATTCTCATGGCTTGGCTTACATTTCTCTTAGAAAACCAAATTTGGCAATATGACAACTACCACACAAAAACGGTTTTCTCCAGTTTGCACACACTTCTCGAAACCAAAATCTTGACATGGCTTTCAATTTTAATTCTCTAATAAATGTTTTTCAAACATTTTTGCTTTCGTCTTAAGTAAAGATTGATATAGTCACTCTTTGTTCCGGAGAATAGAAAGTGAGTAACAGATCTTCGGGGGCAAAAATGGTCCAACATGGAAGAAGGGGAAGTCTGAGTACCCAAAAATCAAATTAATCAACTTTCACTCACGAGTTGATGAGGAAATCTCCTGAGAACATTTCATATCTCATCAAGCCAATCAGCCAATCAATTATACTTCAACTGCACAGCAAGAAGGAAGTCCTACTATACCGCACATTCCAAGAGATACACAACTCTGAAACTTCTGGGTCCAAGCTTGCCCATCAAGAAGGATGAAGCAGTACACATCATCAACTCATTCGACAAAGTATATTGTCACACCACTTCCATGAAGAAGATATATCCTGAGATAACAAGTCGAAAGTCGCACAACTACTACCAAGAGGATATATTCAAGACAACGAGTTCAAAGTCACTCCAACATAAAGCATGACCTAAGGATCGAGTCAATCGAAAGGAAATGACGATTCCTGGAGGATGAGCAATTTAAAGGACCCCAGGTTAAAAACACAAAATAAAAATCAAAGCAAAAACAAAACAACATATATTTGCGTACCAATTGTAAATATCATCGTTTTGTCATTTTCACTCAACATTCATGACTTCACCAGCATGACATCATACATAATTATTTCAATGCCCACTGCATAACATCATCATACGTCAAGGTGACTTGCTATGCATCACGATCACTTCCTAAAATTCCTAAAATATCTTTCTAAATGTACATGAAAACCTTTTGATGCAAAATACCACTACGCATTTACCAAATGTTGGCTTGATCTTTATCGCTAACACTTTTCTCATTGTTCTATTTGATTTCTATCATAGACAATTTGAGTACAATATCATTTACAAAATTGTTAGTTTGATCTTTATCACTAACATCTTTCTCATTGTTCTATTTGATTTCTATCATAGACGATTTGAGTACAATATCCTTTACAAAATTGTTAGTTTGATCTTTATCACTAACATTTTCTCATTGTTCTATTTGATTTCTATCAATAGACAATTTGAGTACAATATCGTTTACAAAATTGTTAGTTTGATTTTTATCACTAACATCTTCCTCATTGTTCTATTTGATTTCTATCATAGACAATTTGAGTACAATATCATTTACAAAATCGTTAGTTTGATCTTTATCGCTAACATCTTCTCATTGCTTGATTTGATTCCTACCACAAGCAATTTGAGTACAATATCCTTTACCAAATCGTTAGCTTGATGTTTATCGCTAACGTTTTCCTCATTGTTCTATTTGATTTCTATCATAGACAATTTGAGTACAATATCATTTACAAAATCGTTAGCTCGATGTTTATCGCTAACATCTTCTCATTGCTTGATTTGATTCCTACCACAAGCAATTTGAGTACAATGTCCTTTACCAAATCGTTAGCTTGATCTTTATCGCTAACATCTTTTCATTGCTTGATTCGATTCCTATCACAAGCAATCTGAGTACAATATCATCGTTAGCTTGATCTTTATTACTGACATCTTCCTCATTGTTTGATTTGATTTTTGTCAAACAATCTGAATACATCATCCTTATATTATGATTAGCTTGACGTTATCGTTGTCATTCTACTTATTGATCAGTTTGATTTCTACCACAGACAACTTGAGTACATCGTTGTTGCAACACAGTTAGCTTGATTTTATCGCTAACACTTATTCCGATGTTCATCAAAATTTCTGTCACAGACGACCTGATTATATCATTGTTACAAAATGGTTAGCTTGATTTCATCGCTAACATGTTTCAAAATCGATCGATTTGTTTCTATCATGAAAAACTTGAGTATATTGTCGTTAGTTGTTACCGAATGGCCGGTTTGATTTCATCACTGCCATTTTCTTATACAATTTGGCTACCATCATCTTAACAATATGGATACGTCACTATTATCAAATATCAGCTCAAATTCTACTTTTGAGGGTTTCACTTTTCAAAATGTGGTGTCTTTATAGAAACTTTGTATAACTCTTTATACAAAGAGATATACAAAGGGGGGCAACTGTAGACACCACATTTTGTCCGGAACAATCATCATGCTAATTATATATACATAAAAGGGAGACTTAATTGTATCACAATTATATTTGGAAAGGTAACTTAAGTGAATTGGTTGAGACTAGCAGTAGCAAGTCAATATGAACCAATGATTACCATTTTCCGCTCATATACAATCCAAGAATCAATTCGAATGGACACGAGGATAAGTACTATTTTGAAGCTTAATACGCTTTAGGTTTGGGTTTGAATTTGAGCATTGGTTTACAATGCATAGAAGAAAAGAACAAATCAATAAATACAAAAAAAAAACATACTTCGCCATTTTATTTCTTCCATGATACATTTGATCGAGAATTACATAGATAACAAAGGAAAGATAGTAATTAAATAGACCGTCACAAATTATACATATATGCAATTAAAAGACCACTCCTTTATAAACCGTGGACCTGCAATAGAAAAGAAGAACTAGTCAGTTCTCAAACCCATACACCAGGTCCACAATTTAAGCCCAAACCAAAGTAGTTCAAGTCCAAAGAGTATAAAGCCAGTTTCTTTTCAAGCCCAAACACAAATCAGATCGGACCCAAATCGGCCCAAACCCGACAGGCCCAACTCGGCCAACTGGTTCGATCCAGAGACCAGCCCAACAATCCGACCCAGACCAATTTGGTCTAACCAAATCCTATCTACAACCGACCAGGCACACTCTTCAAAGTCATATTAAAAAATTGGACGAATCAAATAGTGACAAGTGGCAGTTTGGTTTGCTATAAATGAGCTCTTCAGGCTCTTTGTTTGGGGGGGACGGATTGGAGAAGAAAGACAGAAAAATAGAAACATACACAATACAAAGGGATCGTTTTTTTCCTTTGGCCGAAGTTCAGT